AATCCACCAGCTGCTCTGTGGGAGGACGATGAGGCAATCTACTTCCATAAAGATTTTTTTAAAAAATAAATAAACAAAAAACCAAACGCACTGCTGTCGAAATGAATCCGACTCATAGTGACCCCTCCTTGGGTTTCTGAGGCAGTATCACTACAGAAGTAGATTGCCCAACCTTCCTTCTGAGGAGTGGCTGGTGGGTTTGAGCCACCAGCCTTCTGGTTAGCAGTCTTAAGCAGTACGCCGCTAGATAGCCTTGGAAATCCTGTGGGGGTTGCTATGAGTCAGAATCAATTCAACAGAGGTGGGTTATGTATAAGGAACACTCGTAGTGCAGTGGTTAAGCACTCATCTGTTAACTGAAAAGTTGGTAGTTTGAACCCACCAGCTGCTCTACAGGACAAAGATGTGGCAGTCTGCTTCTGTAAAGATTACAGCCTTGGAAATCCTATGGGGCAGTTCTACTCTGTCCTATAGGTTTACTATGTGTCGGAATCGACTCAACAGCAATGGGTTTTTTGGGAGTTATATACATATGTGTGTATTTTTTTTCTGAACCATTTGAAAATAAGTTGCAGACATTGTGACAACTTACCCTAAATGGTTCAGCATAAAAACAGAACATTTTCCTATATAACTATCATATCTAAGAAAATGAATAAGGATTCCCTGTTATCTAGGAGACTGGTAGCATAGTGCCTAAGGCATTTGACTGCTAACCAGAAGGCTGGTGGTTCAAACCCACCAGCCACTCCTTGGAAGGAAGATAGGGCAATCTAATTCCATAGTGATACTGCCTCAGAAACCCAAGGAGAGGTTGCTATGAGTCAGATCCAACTTGATGGCAGTGAGTTTGGTTTAATATCTAATAGTCAATCCATATTATAATTATCTGAATTCTCACAGCTAACATAAATAGAGCTACACAATAGTTCTTCACATTGTAACTCTCTGACTCCCCCCACAGAGGCCAGACCATTTGAAAAGATATCCAACAAACTTGAGAAGGACAAGTCAGTCCCCACCTATCCTTGGAAATAAATGTTGGTATGGCTGACACTAGGATTGGGGTGATGGAAAAATACAAAACACAGTTTTTTGGGGGGTGTTTATGCAACACCTCCAGACAGGGGTACTAGCTCCACTCCAATGGGAGTAGGAATTAAGTAGAGAAGGGGGTACCACTTCATTTTCTTTCTTTATTGGCATCAAATTTCAGAGACAGCATGATGGCTTCAGCCCCTGGCCTTTGTCTTGGGAATCATCATTGTTAACTTCAACCTCTGTTCAACTAGGTAATGGTGCTTCTAGGACCAGCATAGCTGACCACTCCATCCTCTATCCTGTCCTGGCTGGCTACCACTCTTATAGAGTCAAATCCCCTGATTTCACTGGCAGTCAGATACTAGCTCTTACATAATTTTTTTTAAATGTAAAATTTTAATAGGTATAAAAAGATAAAGGCCATCCTGTATTTCCTCTTATACTTGAATTATATTCCTTATCATGCATGTACCAGAGATTATTCATCAGTCCCCTATCAGTGGGCAATCTGGTTATTTTTAGTCATTTGCTATTATAACTAATACTCCATGAATAAATTTACACATAGCATTTTAAACTTAAAATCAGAACAGAACAGAACCAGAAAAACTGAACAGAGAAAGTCTGTCAGAACTTTGAGATCTGTAAGGGACCGTAGATATCATCTAATCCAACTCCCTTGTTTTAATGAGTAAATTGAGGCCCAAAGAGATCAGTTGCTTAAGATCACAAATCAAGGTGATGGCAGAGCCGGATATGAATCCCAAACCACTGCACCACACTACCTCTCAGTCCCGTGCCTTTGCCCCAGTTTTGATGTCTGAAGTTGATGGTATTTAGGGTACTATATTGTGAATACAGTAAATACCACAGAATTGGCCACTAAGTATCACTGAATTGTATACTTTAAAGTGGTTAATTGTATGTTATATGAATTTTACTTCAATTTTTTTTTTTTTTTTTTTTAAAGCAAGCAAGCAATGATGCAACTTCCTAAAGTGCCTGATAAACTTTGAGGGAAGGTAAGTAACCATAGGGGGAATGAAAACCAGAAGTTCTTGTCTGAGTATCCTGGGAAGGAGGCAGGATCCTAGGAGCCATGTTGTTGTTG